TATAACATACATTATATCATTATTTAATTATTTAGGGCTTTTTTTATTAGGGACTCATTTTTCATATATTTTTGTTCGAATTGTAATATGTTATTTAAATCTTTTTATATACGACATCATTATGTTATTCTTGAAAAAAAAAAATACGTTAGAAGTTTATTTGTTCATCATTTTATTTTGTTCCTACAATCATATGTTTAATAAATTAATTAATTTATCTTACTAAACTTAATCGGCCAAAAATATTTGTCACCACGTGCATCGCACGTTCACCTTACTAGTCATATAAACTATGATTCTTCAAACACAAATGAATAAGAGTTATGATATAAAAATATTTGATTGAAAATAGCATAATAAATAGGTGAGCATGTACAGTTTCAAAATTAAAGAATCTTCTGAACCGTAACAAAAATTAGGTCGATTTGATTTGGAGATTATTATTTTACGATTTGGTTTGGGACTTGGACCAACTCTAATCGCACTGGAAAACACAAAATGAGGGAAGAAAATTGTTCCAACTGACCCAAATCAAAAATACATTTTAGGCTTCCTCTTTCCTCTTGGAAACGCATGTTCGATTGAAAAATGCGTTCCCACTCTGCAATATAACCCTTATTTGTTATTAATTACATGATTGGCACACTAATTAAAGATAATAATTCGCTAAAAAATTAAAATTTTTAGGTATATGATCATGTATGTGCATTCTGTTCATTATAAGTTATTAAGATAATTTTATAATCAATATTAATATTATTTTTATAAACAATACTTTTATATTTCTTTAATTTTATATATGTTAACATATGAAAGTTATATATTCAGTTTTTATCGATTTCACGATAATTTTCACGGAAAACACAAAAACCGATTGCAGATAGATGTTAGAGAGAGTGAACCGGTGGTGAATGATGAAAATCCTTCTTTTTCGGTTTCTTTTCCTTTTATACTCCAATTTAACGATTTTCGGCCGTCCAATTATGGTGTGATCTGCTGACCGTCCGATGACTTCTTATCATTATTTGGTATTAAATTGGGTTGCATTATTGGCTTAATTGGGCTGAACTTTATGCTTTCTTAAATTGGGCTGAATTTTTATTATCAGTCCAATTACTTATTAGCAGTTTTATTTTTTTAAGTTGGGCTAAATTATTTATTGGCTTATTTAATTACAATATATGCATTTTTAACAATTTGTAGATTTGTAGATGTATGTTATATTTTCATTTTACGATTTATTAAATTTTTGTACATTTTATATACATATACACAGAAAAATAACTATTAATATATATTAATCATTTTTTGTTTTCTTTCATTTGAGTTCCATTGTTTGTAAATTAAAATTAATTTTACAGTTATATTTTTTTTACTTACAGGAAACGGAATTAATAGTCAATTTGCACGTATGCGTACTTCACATACAAATATTCAAACAAGACGTGATGTTTTCCGATCTTCACAAAATACCTCGTTATCTAATATCCCTAATGGTAACTATAGATAGTAAAAAAATTACGATTATTTATTTTTGATTTACATATATTGTTTTTGCTTATTTCTTTTTACTTTTGATTGCAATTTTTGGAGCTACAGCTATAGAATCATGAATGAGAACCAATAATAATATATATTCCCACATTTGGAGTATGATTTATTTTATTACATTTAGAAATTAATGGTTATATGTTCTTAACAAAATAATTATTTATAAATTTGTATTAATTTGTAGATACTATACAATCAACCCACGGTCCCAGTGTTAATTTGACTACCCAACATAAAAACCCATTTTTGTCCAAAACCAATCTTGGAAGAGAAACAAATGTTATTGATCTCACAAGTGATGAAGAGCCAGAATTACGAAATATGAGTGAAATACCTTTTGCTCAATCAATTCGTAGTAATAATAGTACTGGTGTTGTACTTGAAAATAGTATTTTTTTATTCACACATCACTCTATACAATTATATATTGTTGTTTCGCGTGTAACTAATAAAAGGAGGTTGAAAATATTAGTTTGTGAGAATGAGGAGTTGCCCAATAATCAAACTCATAATGTTGTGTACATGGAGATCTTTAATAATATATGATTGTTTATTTGTCGAATACTATTTACTGTACAATTTTTCTGTTGTATTGTATAACTTTTGTTGAATATTGCATCTTATAATATAATACTCCCCAAATAAATATATCCCGTGCCTCGCACAGGTCAAGTACTATATATATTACGTATATTTTTCTTTATTCATTTATATAATTACAATGCTGGATATATGACCTTAAAATTGTACACCCCGTGCATCGCACGGGCTTCGTACTATTTTATTGAAATACTTTAGAGTAATTTATCAATATCCTAATAAAACATTAGAAATAATTTCATACAACCTCTTCAAAATATTGTTTCATCCAAAATTTTTATATAATTTTTGCTTATTGAACAAATATGTATTCAAATATT